GCACCGTGAAAACTAAACAGAAACACAAAATACATTTTCTTAGACGCTTATTACAAAAATGAACTCAAATAAAACAGAAAGTACAACAAAATATCAACTAAGCAATCAAATACAACTTAAAACATGTACCTCCGCATTCCAAGGGCTGCAAATTGTTAATTTCGCTATCGGTATCACGCTGCTTCACGCTGCTTCACGCTGCTTCACGCTGCTTCACGCTGCTTCACGCTGCTTCACGCTGCTTCACGCTTCATCGAGAGCTGCTGCTACTGGGACATGTGCGCCACAAAACCGGTCTGAGCTGGAAGTGCAGCTTGCCGCTAACTAAGCAACAGAGCCCTCTACTGGACACGACGCGTAGCTGTTCAGGCTTAGATCAATAAACAAAACTGGACCTTTACAAATCGCTCCGATGACGGCGTCGGCGGTGTGCAAAGAGAAAACACCCGTATTGGCGGCTCACCTGGGCGTAGGCGCTTTGCGTCACCTTTCGCAGGTCGTCCTGAGCGCCCGTGGTGATCCGGCCGAAGAAGATCTCCTCGGAGACTCGGCCCCCCAGAGTCATGCACATGCGGTCCAGCAGCTGCTCCTTCGTGTACAGGTACTGCTCTTTGGGCAGGTACTGCGCGTAGCCCAGCCCCTTCCCTCTGGGGATGATGGACACCTGTGCAGGTCACAACACAAACTGACGAGTCTGCACCAGACCCCATTCATATTTCACTCAATTCTGCAGCTACAGCACCGCGGCGATGGAGTCACCTTCAGCAGCGGGTCGGCATGCTCCAGGAACCATCCGGCCACGGCGTGCCCGGCCTCGTGATACGCCACCGTCTTCTTCTCCTCTGGCTGCAGGACCTGAGTCTTCTTCTCCAGGCCTGCAGACGGGAAGAGACGCTGTATGAGATCATCCTGCCGCCAACGCCACGCTCAACATTCGAACGCTCGCACTCACCTCCGATGACCCTCTCGATGGCCTGCTCGAAGTGCTTCTGGCTGATAGCGTCTGAAAGGTGGCGAGCGGCAATCAGAGCCGCCTCGTTACAAACGTTGGCGATGTCGGCACCTGATTGGAGGAGAGCAGGGAGGACAAAGGTGTGTCTCGGACCAAGCGGGCGCACAAAGTCTGAAGCGTCATTCAGCAGCGCTTACCTGAAAATCCAGGTGTGAGGGCGGCCATCTTCCTGGCCAGAGAGTCTTTGTCCATGTCGGGCTCGAGCTTCAGGGGCCGCAGGTGGACTTTAAAGATGGACGCCCGACCTTTGATGTCAGGAGGGCCTTAGGGGAGAAGGATATCACCTGTGACCTCACACGAGCTCATACGGAAGATGTACTCGGCTCGCCTGGCGCTCTGACTCACCGATGTAGATCTGTCTGTCGAAGCGGCCGGGTCTCATCAGCGCCGGGTCCAGGATGTCGGGTCTGTTGGTTCCCGCCAGGACCACCACGTTGGTGGCGGTGTTGAAGCCTGCGGCGCAGAAAGGAGTGAGCAATCGCCATGTCGTCATCGTTACAAAGCTGAGTTTAGCTCCACCCACCGTCCATCTCTACCAGCAGCTGGTTCAGCGTGTTCTCCTGCTCACTCTGACCGCCAAAGTTGCCCCGCCCCCTTTTGCGCCCCACAGCGTCGATCTCGTCAATGAAGAGGATGCAGGGGGC